TTTTAAATATTATATTTAACAAAGAACTATCAAGATAGAAAGACTATTGAATAATATAATCAGACTATTAAATACAGAGAGAGATCTATTCTTTCAGACTATGAGATAGTTATATATAGCCTGTATTATCTCAGTAGCTGATTATAAAGTTCAAGTGTAATAAAGTAATTAAGAAAATTTCACTGAACTCTTTCAAAGTCTGTAAAACAGAGCTTTGAGAAGAATTCTGAAAGCATTTAAATTATCTTCTATTAAAGTAATGAAAATTAAAGCTTCAATTCTCTCTTCTACTATTAAATTTAAAAAGATCTGTATAAACTATGCTGTGAGAGTTATAAAGATAAGCTTAAATTATATAATCAGAGAAAGAGTCTCTTCTTCACTTTCATTAATTAACTCTGAAAATGAACTAGATTAGAATAGATTTCTTGATTAAAATGAAAATAATTCTTCAAAGAAAATGTCTTCTTAACTATACAGACTATACTCACTGATTAAAAATTAATTTTCTTTCTTAAATATTGAAAAAGTTGATCATGAAAAGATATCTCTTTAAAGAGAAAACTTTGAATCTCTTATAGACTTATAAATAAGTGAACTATCTAAAGAGAAAGAATATAAATAGCATTTAAAGAGAATTTTTACAATTAATATAAAAGACTCTATTCTGATTTATTCAGATGACTCAAAAAATAAGAATTTAAATAGATTAGACACAGACATTGCTTATACTGAAGATAATATCAATTTTATCTCAGATTTCTGAATTTTAAACTGTGAATCTGAAGTCTTTAATACTAAACTATTTATATTAATGAATGCTTTCAAACTTATTGAAATAAAATCTTATAAAAGAGAAAATAGTTTGAAAGAGATATAAATATTCTTTGATAGTCAAGCTACTTTAAAAAGACTTAGAAATAGTCAGATTTATAATGATTAAATAAATCTTGAACTGATTTTAAACTCTGTTTTGAAAATTCAAAAGAGAAGAATATTAAAACTGATAATTCATCTGCACTGAGTTTCTGCTTATATGAATATTCATGATAATGAATTGACTGATTCAGCTGTAAAAAAGAGTTCAGAATTAAGCAGATTTATTCAAAAAATTATATTCTGATCTTTTATAAAGAGAAAGATAAAAGAATCTTATTTAGATAAGTGAAATAAAAGCTGATAGAAATAAAAGAAGAGTATATATTATTCAAGATTTAAAATAAAATTCAAGTGAAAATCTTGTTTAATTAAATATAAGAAGAAAATAATCTCATCTATAATTCAGTTAAAACTAGAATATGATTATTTTAAATCTTATATACAAAGATTTAATAATAGATTTAATTCAATAGAATGCTCATTCTATAATATAAATAAAAATTCAGAGTATATTATAATATATTATATATTATACAATAGTCTCAGAGTCAGATTAAAAGAGAAGTATAATTTATATTAATTAAATATGAGATTCTTATTCTTAACTGAGATAGAAATTAAATACTTAATAGACTTTCTATCAGAAACTCAAGTAGCTATAAGAAAATAACTGAATTCAGAAATATCTGAATATGAAGAGAAGAAAATTAATCAGATATAGTCTGTTAAAACAGCTATACACTATCTTTTAATAATTTGTTTTATTATAGTCTCTTTTTACTTTACTTTTTTTTTTCTATTCTTTTCTATCTATCTATTTAATATATCTATCTTTAAGACTGAGTTCTCTTTTCTTTAGTCATGATATTGTTAAATGATTTCAAAGTATCAGAAGGTGTTAAAATACTGTAATGTATAAATAGTTTTTATATTCTGTGCTGGAATTTTCTGATTTCACATATCTGAAATTGATAAATGTATAATAGTTGACTTTATAGATATAGGAAAAACTCTGAGAACTAAAAGTTCTCAGGTAGATATTATAGTCTCTGACTATATACATCTATAATTAAAGAATAATAATAATAATAAATTTATTATTATTATTATTAGTATTATTCTTTCATTATACTCATATACAAGCGGAGCTTATACTGAGTTCTTATATAATGTTAAATACAGATCAAGTATTGATTATATAGAAGAAAATACAGATGATGAGACTATATCAAGATAACAAGAATATAGAAAAATACAAAGAAGTGATAATTAAATACATGCGATAATAACTTCTCAGCTCAGAAACATAGAGCAATTCATTAAAGTAATTTGTACATCTCTGTATTTATTAGAAACCTGAGGTGCTTGAGTTCTGAATTTAATGTATTCTCTGCGGGTTTTGAACTCACATGTCTTGATTTTCCAAGCCAAGGTGCTACCAGGTGACTGCATTA